CTCGTGAGTGCTGGGATTATAGATGCACACCACTACCACACCCAGTTTTAGTGCAGTGTTTTCTGTATTGTTTCTGTTTGATGGCAGTTTGTTGTTGCATGCCCGAACATACGGCTTGGTGAGTCAGGTGACTCAACTTTAGGAAATTCCAGCCATTTTGTATATTGATATCTTGTAGTTGTTCAGCCTTTATCATATGCCAGGGCTAAGATATTGCTCCTTTTGAGAATAGCTTCATCCAGGAAATGTTACAGGTTTGGTTCAAGTTACGTGAAAACTGTACGTTGAGTCTCCTCATGGTCCTTGTCAGGGACTGTTAACAGTACCCTGCTTCCCTTGATCTGTAAGGTCATTTAACAGAAGTGCTGGAAAAGCTTATAGTACAGCCTGAACTCTTTCTTGCCTTGGTCACATTTAAAACTGGATTCCCCCCCCCCCCCCATGATAGGGTTTGTTTGTGGAGTCCTGGCTGTCCTGGAACTCGATCTGTAGAACCAGCTGGCCTCAAATCAGATTTGCCTGCCTCTGCTGCCTGCTGAGTGCTGGGATTAAAGGCATGCACCACTACCACCTGTCTAAAACTGGAATTCTTATAAGTGAATGGAGACTGGTTTAAAGTGAAGAAAATTCTGTTATTTGTGGCAATATGAGTAAAAATGGTGGACGTCGTATTAAGGGAAAGAAAGTCAAGCATAAATCCCTTACTAGCTGCTATGTATATAGGAAAAACTGAAGGGAGACTGTTGACTTTGTAGAATTGAGCAATGTCTGGGTATTTCTGTGAGGGTGGTTCTGGAAAGGATTAGTTTATGAGGGCTTTAGCTTAATGATTTGATCCATTGATGGATTCAAAGTTTGCATAAACTATTGGAATATGATGGGATTGACTAAATAAAGTTAATGAGCATGTTCTTGGGGGTTGGTGTCTTACTTTAGTTTCTTGTTACTGTGTTACTCTGCTTCCTGCCTGCCACTTATGAAGAACTTTGCCAGAAGCTCCTGCCACAGTGATGCTCTGCCCAAGCACATGCACCAAGCACTTTGGTCAGAAACTGACCAATAAATCTTTTTTCAAAAAATATTAATTTATGCCAGGCATGATGGCCTTTAATCCAAGCACTAGGGGATGGGAAACAGAGGCAGGTAGATATATGAGTTCAAAGCCAACCTGGTTTATGTAGTGAGTATCAGGCTAGCCAAGGCTACATAGTGAGACCCTATCTTAAACTCCAACTCCCAAAGTTGTGTGAGTGTTCCTCTCTCTGACAGTGGGCATATGCATGCTACTTTTGGTTTTCTCCTACTTCAGGTCCAGGGATTTACTTAGGTTGTCTGTCTTATTTGCTGAGCCATATTGCTGGCCCAGTAATTCTTTTTAATTTGTTGTTAGGTAATTTGTACCTGGGGAAAATAATAAAGGATTTATTAAGAATACAAAAATTAATTTTTTGGAGGCAGGGTCTCATATCCTAGGCTTCCTAGAACTCATTAGCTAAGGGTGACTTCCTTATTTTGTGGGTATGCATGTATATTTGTGTCAAAGGCCATCTTTTCAGTCTGGCCTCAGCATGTTCACATGCATTTATATATAGTCACATTCACATATTCATACCCACACCCTTCACTGGCTATCGTATCTATTTGCTAGTTGTGGTTAGTGTGTTCAGTAGATGTGTTGTATGACATTGTGCTTCAAGACCTGCATTTCTATCTTACAGTTCTATTGTATGGGGTATTGGTCTTTGTGTTGTATAGTAGATTGACCCTGGATTTTGTAATAGTTGTGAGTCTAGTGACAGCAGCAAGTGCTTTTGAAAGTTCATTAGAAAAATAAGCTCCCTGTTTTCCAGGTATCTATTTCCCCAGAGTGAGGGTTTTCAAGTAGGTCAAAGATTGTCTTCTGAGCAACCAGTGGACATAATGTTTCCTTGGTCAAGGAAGCTAAGTGTGATGGAAGCTTAAGAGTGTGGCTTTCATTTGAGTCCAAAGAGATTCCCTCCATCTCACCTTTCACACTCTTATTCTTCACTAAATGCATGAGGTGGTGTGGGCCTGTAACTCTAGTACTAGAGGGATATAGAGAGTGTTGGTTCCTGGAGCCAACTGACTTGCCAGTCTTATCTAAACAGAAATCCCCAAATTTAGTAAGAGATACTATCTCAAAAAATAAGAGCCATTGTGGAAGACACCAAACATCAATCTCTGGCTTCCACATCTGCCTGCACAGGTGAGTACAGCTACATCATGGGTAAATAAAAGTGCCTTTTAAAAAAAAAAACTTTGTGAAGACTTACAAAATTATTTTTTTCCATTTATTTATTTTGTGTGTGTAGTGGGGTATGCTCATGCTATGGCCAGAGGACAGTTTGGAGAAGTTGGCTATCTTTTCTTTATCATGTAGGATCTGGGAATCAAGCTTAGGTTGTCAAACTTGATGGCAACTACCTTTACCCAGTGAGCCCTTTTACAATTTTTTTTTTTTTTTTTTTTTTAAACACACTCCATTGGAAAGCTGAGACAGGAGAATTGTTGTAAGTTTGAGACCAGCTTGGGCTATGGAGTGAGACTATCTTAACAAAAGATACCATCATGATTGGAGATAGTCTAGGAAAGGGCTACAATGAGTGAGCCCTTAAGTTCTATCCCAGCATTGGCTAGACAATAAACAAGTAACTGCTGCTGGCAGTTAAAGCAGCATCTGTTTGACCTCCCAAGACAGTCACCCACAGATAACATTGTGATTCATGTGATTTTACTGAATGTCTGTCCCACTGTAAGGATCGCTACATGAGAGGCCCTAGTGTGGGTTTGCAAGGAACCAGAAGGACAAGATCCTAGGGATAATCTTAGTGGGCTCTATTTTGTCCTTGGAGTCTAAATATGATTTTTAGGGCTTTATTTAGTACAGCATTTGGGATTCATCATCTGTAGAGTAAGCAGCATAGGGAATTTGTGAGGGTGAATTTTGTTGAGCTATGGGACGTTTACGTGTGTAGAGCACTAACTAGTTAGGTTAGTATTCTATTGGATTTATGAAATCTTATTTGTGAGGATAGAATATATGTCACAGTGTGCATGTTTTGGTCAGAGGACAACTTGCAGGAGTCAGGTGCCTCATTCTACCATATGGGACATGGGGATAGCTAGGACTCAAGTCATCAGGCTCAGCAGTAAGATCCTTTGCCTGCAGCCATCTCATTGGGCCTTATTTATGTTTGTGGTGGGGTTGGATACTGGGAACTGAACCTAGGGTGTGACATACCCTAGGCATGTGTACTGTCACTGAGCTACATCCTTAGCCCATTTTTTCTTTTTGAGATAGGATCCCACTAACTTGCCCAGGCTGGCCTTGAATTCATTCTATAGCTCAAGTTAGCTTTGAGCTTTTGATTCATCATTTTGCTTCAGCTGCCCCAGTAGCTGGGATTACAAGTTTGTTCTGTTTGTGTTCTTGCTTGCTTTTAAGATAATTATTGCTATTTTGCCCAGGCTGCCTTTTAAGTTTGCTTGCTTCTGTCTTGAAAGTGTTGGGTTTACAAAGCCTCCCCATTATACCTGGTTTTCATATATATATATATGAAAACCAGGTTTAATTAATATATATATATATGCAATCTGTAAACTATTTATTGCAAGTTAACAATAAAAGAAAAATGAAGGCAATTGTTGAAGAAATGAAAACAGAAAAGTCAACCTCTCTGGCTGTGGATATAGCTTCAGTAGTTTAGCATTTGCCTGTTATGCTCAAGACTCTGGGTTCTGTCCCCTGCATTATGAAAAGAACGTTGACAGTACATGCCAACAATTAGAAGGTAGAGGCAGGACTGTGAATTCAAGGTCAACCACGTCTTCCTGCTAGGATCTGGGTTAGATAAAAAGAGAAGAAAAAGACAAAGAAACTTGAATAGTTTTTGTTTTAAAACACCTGGTACTCTTTATTTAAAAAGGTATTCCATACTAAAGCCCTGGGCAGATTCTGACCAATTCTTGACCCTGTGCCAGTGTGAAGAGGAAAGGGAATTTATTTTTGATTCTAATGTTTCCAACTAAGACCTTAGTACTTGAAATGTTCTTTGAGTTTGTGGGTGTGTGTATAGAGGCAAATGTTGGGTGTGTTCTGCAATCACTCTTTACCTTATTTTTCAGAGATTTAGTTTTATTATTACTTATTGTGTTTTTTTTTCTCCCCTGTTATGTGTGTGGGTACACTTGGAGGCCAGAAGAGGCCATTGGAGTCCCCGGAGCTGAAGTTAACACGCAGTGTGAGCTGCTGGATGTAGATGCTGGGAATTGAACTCAGGTCCTCTACAAAAGCAGCAATTGCTCTTATAACTCAGCCATCTTTCCATCCACTGTCCACCTTATATTTTGAGGCAGGATCTCTTGTTGAATCCAGAACTGTATTTTGATGAGTCTAGATAGTGAGCTGCGGGGATCTTCCTAACTTTGCCTCCCTAACACTGGTATTACATGCCCAGATTTTTTTCCATGGATACTGATGATAGAACCTAGGTCCTCATGCTTGCATGACAAGCACTTTACTGACTGAATTATCTCCCCAGTTTTATGTTTGTTTTGTTTTTAAGAAAATTTAAAATTATTTTATATGAATGGGTGTTTTGCCTGTGTATATGTGCACTACATTTATTTCTGGTGTCCTCAGAGGGTGTTAGATTTCCTGGAACGTGAGTAACAGACAGTATGAGCTGCCATGTGGGTGCTGGGAATTGAACCCATGTCTTCTAGAAGAGCAGCCAGTGCTCTTAAGACACTAAACTGTATCTCTTGCCCTCAGTTCCTTTAAAAAAAAAAAAAAAAAAATCCCTGTCAGTATAGCCAGTGTTAGTTTTCTTTTCTGTTGCCATCTTGTCCCAAGAGAGTTTGCAATTTTGTGTTTCCGGTGTGTGCATATGCAGGAATCTTCTTACCTGCTTGATTTTCCCTGTAGCACTTATGAAGTAATATATCAGTTCTTTTGTTATGATTGTATTTCCCCATAGGACTTCTACATCTTTACAGAACAGGATATTTTCTGTGTCCTTCCCTGCTCTGCTCATGCCTACCACAGGAATAGGACTTCTAATAACTTGCTGAGAGAATTAAAGAATAAGGCTGACCTGAAATAAACTTCCAGTACCTACAGTAAATGAAATAGAAGAGGTAAGATTATTTGTAATGCTTTTATTTTAACACGTATATTGAAAGTACCATGCTAGTACATAATAAAAAAATTCAGATGCTTATGTTCTTTTCCAGACATATTTGATTTATGTTTATAATAAATGAGATTAGTAGTTTTAAAAAATTCAGAACTTGGAGGTGTAGATTAGTGGTAGAGTGTGTATTTAGCTTACATGAGGCCCTGGATATAGTTCACAGACACAGGGCTGGGGGGTGTATCCCCATGGCAGAGTGCTTGGCCAGTGTACACAAGGCCCTGAGTTCTAACCCAGAACCACATAAGCCAGGCATGGTGGAACACATCTGCAATCCTAGTCGTTGTGAAGTAAAAGGATCAGAAGTTCAAAGTCATCCTCAGTTACATGTCCAGCCCTCATAACACAATGTGTAAGATCCAGTCCTTTATAAAAAAGAGAGAAAAGAAAAAAGTAAAATGTATTCAAATAGTCAAGATATTTGGTTTTTTTTTTTTGTTTGTTTGTTTGTTTGATTTTTTGTTTTTGGTGGGGGGGAGGGTGACTTATATTTTGTTTTTTTGAGACAGGGTTTCTCTGTGTAGCTCTGCTGCCCAGGAACTCTTCTTTATAAATCAGGCTGGCCTTAAACTGGGAGATCTACCTGCCTCTGCCTCCTAAGTGCTGAGATTAAGGGCATGTGCCACCATGTGATTTTTTTTTTTTGTTTGTTTGTTTGTTAAAACTGGGGGACTTTATGTGATTGAGGCTTCCTGCCTTGGCCTTTTAAGTGCTAGCATTAAGTTAAGCATGTGGCATTGTGCCTTGTGCCAAACATACTTAAGAGTTGTCAAATAACAGTCATGTTGATTTTAAAAACTATTTCAATTTTTTTTTTTAAATTAAGTCATAATATTTGGAATTAGTGCTATGGAATCCATGTTTTGTCACATTAGGGAGCAGTAGCAGTCATAGAAAATCAAGCTTTCTGGGCAAATTCAGCTTAATCAAGTCTCAGTTCATTTCCAAACAGGGTCATACTAGACTGATTACTAGTGCTGCCTGGATGTGGGTTTTTTAGTGTGGGTAATGATATCTACTATGTAGTATGGTTATGATAATGTGAGCTTATATATGTAAAGATGCTAGTACAACTTCTGACAAAACTAGTAAATGTTAATTGGTATGCATATGGCTATTGTTAGTGAGTAGATGTTTGCTGGTGGGTTTCACATATATTATCTGCAGAGAGTGAGCACTACTGTGTGATGTTTGCTGACTGACGTTCGATGTTGTTGATTAATGATTGATGTGAACAGGACTCCATATAACCCTGTATTAAGAGGAATGGAGATTGCCTCTGTCCACTTAGATTCATAAGCTGTCCCGAAGTGATCTTGGCATCAGGGAAGGGAGTGTTCAGGCACATTCACTCACCATCAGCATCACGGGATGGCAGCCATTGATTTGTCCCATGGTAAGTCCTTGTTGAAGCTCTTTTTTTAAGACTGTTTTAGGTCTCTCCTGCCCAGCAAAGTCCAGTGGGAAGGGCTTGTGTGTTCATTTACAAAGAGTTGAAATGGACCACATAATGAATGGTGTTTTGTGATTTAGGGCCCTGGTGTGTATGCTTTCAGAAGAGGTGCTGTATAATTGTCATGAGTTCTGTCACCAGGGGCAATGTAGAGCCATGTTTTTAATTTTTATTTTATCTTATTACTACTATTATTGTGTGTGTGTATTTGTGTGAGTGAGGGTACATGTGGAAGTCAGAGGAATTTTTGGGAGTCAGTTTTCTCCTTCATTGTGGAATCCTGGGATCAAACTTTGGGTATCAGGTTTCAGTATTCAAATTAACCTGATGGCATCGTCTAATCAACCCCAGAGTCAGCATTTTTCACACCTTAAGTTTCTTCATCTATAAAGTAAGGACACCCCCTTTCTCAGTAGGCAGCATGGTTCCTACCCTGTCCCCTTGGCTTTAGGGGAGACATAAGTGCTGTGGCATTTCTTGGTAGGAACATATGTTTATGTTGTTTGAGTATAAAGGTGACAGGAATGTCACACTAGAGTGAAATGACATGGTGGCTCTGGGATTTGATGCCCTCTTTCTTTCCTGTCAGGCCTTCTTTCTAGAGAGCCTATTTACATCTATGAAGAAAACACAGAAGTAGAAGGGACAGTGACTGACAACCAGGCAAATTGTTACCAGGTAAAAAAGAAAGGATATCATTCTACCAAATAACTTTTTCATCCATGATCTAGATGCATTTCCATATAGAGTCTAGAATCTAGACAGACTTAACCTCCAGGACTTTAAAGGGAATGCATTTTCCCTAGGAAGGGAAGAATGTCTGGTTGAATTTCCCTGGGGAACAGAACCTTATATTGGTGATCTTGCAAATCATTTTCGTAATTGCTGATTACCGTTTGCTTGGCTGGGGATTGAACCAGAGCCTTTTTATTCATGCTAGGCTTTACCATTGAGATATCCCCCACTCCCACTAGGTGATCTTTTTGTTTGTTTTATATAGGGTCCAGCTATATAGTCTAATCTTTAACTCACTATGTAGTCCTGGCTGATCTTAACTTTCCTCCCCTGTGAGGATTACAGCCTCCACTAATCTTGAACCTCATATGATAACTGCATGTTTTGTTTTGTTTTGTTTTTGTTAAGTGCTCTGACAGATGATAAGGCAGGTGAGAGCACTCTTTTGTCAGATGATCTACTTATTAGATAGCTGCAGTTTGCTTAGGAATATGCTACAATGAGACAGTAGGACGAGAAGAACTTCTAGCCTGGCTGTGCTGGTAGAAATCGTGCTTATGAAATTCTGCTAAAGTCATGTGACAGTAGGTCAACAGAGAGTGAGTTTAGAGAGAATTCCTGGGGCCATTGAATCCTGCAGCTGGATTGAGGCTGATCTGAGAGCCATGTATAGGTATTAGGTCCACCTTCCTAATTTTCCATTGAGTACATACTAGCAAGACTATTAATTGGCTCAAATCAACATGTGTGAAACTGTTTAGGATTTGGTGACCTTCGATGATGTGACTGTGGAGTTTACCCCAGATGAGTGGACTTTACTGGACCTGACTCAGAGAAACCTATACAGAGAGGTGATGCTGGAGAACTACGAAAATTTGACCTCAGTAGGTAAGATTGCCAGCATTACTTATTACCTTTTATGAAACAGATGCATATTACATGGTTCTTAATGTGTTGGAGATTGAGCTTGTTAATTATGAATATAATGGAATGACAGGTGCAATTTAAAAATGACACTGTTTTTGTATGGGGTCAAGGGGCTTACACCTTTGATCCCAGCACTTTAGAGGCAGAAGCGGAGGCAAGTTTATTTCTGAGTTCAAGGTCATGATCTATATAACACATTCCAGGCCAGGTCATCCATGGCTACATAATGAAAGCCTGTCTCAAGAAAAAATCAAAACAACAACAACAAAAACAAACCAAAAAATAACCCCCCCCAAAATATCTTTTCTAATTCTTCTGTTTGTATGCATGTGTACGTGTGTGCATGCATGTGGTGTGTGTATCCCTAAATATATAATACAATCTATAATGTGCATAGTTTTTCTTGTATGTATATTTTTCAGGGTTGACCTGAAAATCAGTTGGTGTAGTCTTCCCCAGGGAAAGACTGTTTCTTCTCCCTCTTAGCATACCTTAGTTGTATGTAGTTGTTTGTGTAGGGTTGAGGCCTCATGAGAATCAATGAGCTCCCTTCTTCCACATGAGCATGTATATATATTGGTGTCTTCCTTGTTCAGCTTATATTTAGGCAGTCATGTTGATACTTCATGGGTATAGCCTCTGACATTATTAAGAGATAAAAGCCAGAAGATCAGAGAGTTTTCTGGCTTTTATTGTTCCACCTCTTCCAAAATGTTTCCTGAACCTTAGGTGCAGGAGTTGTTTTGTAGCTGTATCCATTGTGACTGGGCTCCATAATTCATCATTTTGATTGGTTGTGGTTTTCTGTAATGGTCTCTCTATCTGTTCCAAAGAGAAGTTTCTTGGATGAGGGGTGAAGACTACACTCATCTGTGGGTATGAAGACAAATAGTTAGAACGTAGTTGGGTTATGCTGGTTTAGTAAAGTGGTGGGTATAGGTTCTCCAAGAGCTATGGTTTCCAATATAAGGCATGATTTCCCTCTCATTGAGTAAGTCTTAAGGCTCTCATTGAGTAAGTCTTAAGGCTATTTATGTCATTTTTGTATCCTTATGGTTATCCTGTCATGCTGGTTTTTGTTGTGGTTCAGAGGTATCATAGTTGGGTTGGACTTTTCTTGCTTCCCTGTTTTGGAAGCTTTTGTGGCCCCACTAAGCTACTTGAGCTAGTCCTCAGGGAGGAAACATTCATGTCAGGGTCCCTTGGGTCTTGTCTGAAGTGAATGATATCTTTAGCAATTGGGACCTAACCTTCTTACCTCTGGTGGGCAACCAAGGGCAGCAGCAATAACCTGTAGTGTTTTTGGAGTCTCTTGTACAATCCTGTTCAACTATGATTCCTTATAACTTTTTCAGACATCCTTCCTGTTATTTTACCCCCTTTCCTTCCTAACCAAAGGCCCCACCACCACCATTTTTCCTACTTTCCATTTCAGATCACTTATACTCTGCTGTTCTCTATTACTACCTCACTCTCCTGACTCCAGCAATGGTCCTTTCTGTTTCCTGGTTTCCACAGCTACTTTAGGTTATATATTCACATCTGAAGATTTAGAGCTAGGAGCCTCAATGAAAAAGAACATGTGACGTCTGTCTGGGTCTTATACCTCACTCACTGTGATCTTTTGTAGTCCCATCCATTTACCTGCAGAGTCCAAGATTTCACTTTTTCTTTACTATAAGTTATAGATGCCACATTTTCATTATCCATTTGTTGGTTGGGGGACATTTATTTAGGTTGTTTCTACTTTTTAGAATTGATCAACAATGAACATGGCTGAGCAAGTATCTGGAATAGCATTGTAAGTCCTTGGACATATGCCAAGGAATGATATAGCTGGGTCATATGGTAGATTTATCTTTAGCTTTTTGAGAATTTCTCTACACTGTTTCCATAATGCCTATGTTAATTTGCAGTCCTATGAACAGTGGATGAGAGTTCCCCTTTCCTCTCATCCCCTTCAGCATTTGTTACTGGTCATTTGTTGATCTTTGTCATTTTGACTAGTCTAAGGTGAAATATCAGAATTGTTTGGATTTGCATTCCTTCAGTGCTAAGGATGCTGAACATTTAAAGAAAATTTTTTTCATGTAATGCATATTGATCATATTTTCCCCCATCCCTACCTCTTCCCAGATCTTTCTAACAATGGACATCTAAAAAGGATATTTCTTAGCCACTTTTTCTTTTTTGAGAACTCTAATTTTGTTGTTTTTGTTTGTTTTGTTTTCTTTCTTTTGGTGGGGGTGGGGAGGCACTTAGTTTTGTCTGTCTTTGGAACTCCCCGTGTAGATCAGACTGATCTCTGCCTGCCTCTGCCTCTCAACTGCTGGGATTAAAGGTGTGGCCACCACATCCATCTTCCTTCTCCATTTTTTCCTTTACACTTTCATTTTTCCTTTTTCTTCTTCGCTGTTTTTGTTTGTTTGTTTTGTTTTTATCCCATCCCCTTCTCTTTCCTTTACCCTCATTGTGATCCTCACCTATTTTTTTGGCAATAAAATCTTCTGTGTATAGTCCAGGCTGGCCTCAAACTTGGAATCCTCTGTCCTTATCCTCCCAAGTTAGGAGATTTAAGTTTCATATGCCACAGTGCCTGGCATAGAAGACTTGTTTTTAGAGATAAAGAGGGGGAGAGGGAGAGAAAGAAGAAGAGGCAGAGAGACAGAGACAGAGACAGAGAGAGAGAGAGAGAGAGAGAGAGAGAGAGAGAGAGAGAGAGAGAGAGAGATGAACATGCTAGAGATGAAACCCCAGGGCAGTACACATGCTAGGAAAATGTTCTACCCTTGAGGATGTATAGCTTCTCTTGAAAGTGTACATTAATTAACTTGCATTTGGCTCAGGGACTCCTTTTGGGGACACAGAACTAGGAATATTATCTTTTCTTCTATGGTGCTAGAGGTTATACTTAGAGCCTTAGTCATGTTAACCAGGCACTCTACCACTAACTACAATTCTTCATCCCCTCCTCTGTATTTGCATTTTTACTCATTTTGAAAGAATTACCTTTCTTTCATTTGAACTATGATTTCCTTAGCCATATAAAAGTTTGTCGTCTCTTGTTTGAACTTCTTCCATTCATATATGTTTCTGCATATGTAGGATGTCAGTTCTTCATTCCTAGTCTGACACCCTGGTTAAAACAAGAAGAGTTGGAGACGATGGAAAGCACAGTTCCTCAACGTGAGTATGCATGAAGAAATCTATTTGATGAGTTCAGTATTGTTTTACAACTATAATCAAGTATTTTTACAATGTACTGGCCTCAAAGATTAGAGCCATTTTTCTCAAAGTTTGGGATCTTCCATTTTACATAATCTATTGTTTCTATCTATTTGTGCATACCTGTGGTCTTACACAATACTATGTGTTTCATTTCCTAGTTCGTTAACTGTTTTTTCAGACTTTATGACTCCCTGTTTCTGTAATTGCCACAGGATCAGTGTGTAATACATAAAATATTGACTCTATTTTTTATTATTATTTTATTACAGCTTTTTTTGTTCTTGTTTTGAAGGTGCTAGGAATTGAGCCCAGGGCCTGGGCTTGTGAGGCAACCATTTTACCCACTGTGCAGTCCTATTACTGAATTTTTAGCATAACAAAATTCTTAAATCTGTGCAGTTATTTTCTTTCACATGTAGGAGAAAGTGTGTGTACACATCACAGCACACCTATGGAGGTCAGAGAACAAATTTGGAGTGAGTTTTCTCTTTCTACCATGTCATTTCCAAGGCTGAAACTCAGATTATCAAGTTTGGTGACAAGGTCGTGTCCACCTTACAATTTGAGACCAGGTCTCTCATTAAGATCTGGGATTTACTGACCAGGCTAGTCTGGTTGAACAGTAAGCCTCAGGGATGTGCCTGTCTGCCTCTCCAGTGCTGGAATTATTAGCATGTGTCACTATATGTGGCATTTCAAAGTGGGTTATAGGATTCAAACTCAGGTCTTCGTGATTTACCAACTAGCTGTCTCACCTGCCCCTTTTCCTTGTTTTTCTGTTACTAATTTTGAAATAGAGTGTCACAGGCTAGGCTGCTTTTGAATTTAAGATTCTCTAGACAGGCGGTGGTGGCATACACCTTTAATCCCAGCACTTGGGAGGCAGAGGCAGGTGGATCTCTGTGAGTTTGAGGCCAGCCTCGTCTACAGAGCTAGTTCCAGGACGAGTAGAGCTGTTAAACAAAGAAACCCTGTCTGGACAACAAGGTCCCCACCCCCCAGAAAGAAAGAAAGAAAAAGAATCTCTGGCTTGAGCCTCTTAGGCGTCACAATCATACTCTATTACATCTGTCACTATTTTCTCATCTCTTTGGTTTTGAGCTTTAGCCATTTATGTCTGAGCCATCTTTCCAGCCTTCACTTTTATTTTGTTAATATGCTTAATAGGAAAAGAAAGACCAATGACCCTTACCACTTTTACGTACCATTTATTTTCTGAACTTCTTACATTTCTCTTTTTATTTAACTTCAGAATTGGAATTACAACCTAGAATTGATGATTCAGAGCTTCAGAATTATTTTAAGATGCAAAGTTCCAGTGAACTAGAAATGGTAAGATCAGCAGAGTGTTTTCTGTTTCCTACTCAAATAAAAAAAAAGAGGAGGGAGTTCTTTTGTAAAGAACTAATAGAGATGAATAGTCTGCACTCAAAAGGAATTGATGCTTTTGGAGAACTATTTGGAATACCATGACTTGGGAAAATCCCCAAATATACCATAAAGATTATGTCTCATTTTTTTCCCCCCTACTAGCGTGTATTTTTCATTATGCAATTAGACGTGGAAGTTTTAAGCAATTTTATGAAACTATATACTTTTTTTTTTTAATGCATATAATTAGCCAAACATCCAGATTTTGGCAAAGGGATCTGCCATTCAGTTTGGCAAAAATAGAGGTCAGGAAATAATTACATGGAAAAGAAAATATAAAATTCATAATGAACATAAAAATGTTTTTGTCTTCAGGTGGGTGATTCATCCCTTCCTCAACAGTCAGGAAACCACAATGAAGAGGACCTTTGTGACTCTAAGCCAGGTGGAGAAGTGTTGGGTGAACAATTATGCCTTAACACAGAGGTGAGCATGCAAAGCCAAGGATACAGTTCTGAGTGTAATTGGTATGGAAAAGACATTCTTTCTTTGCTCAAGGAAACCTCTACTGGACAGAATGTTTCTGAACTTAATCAGTGTGGAAAAATCTTCAGTCTGACTCCAAACATCATGTACCCAAGCACTAGCACAAATGAGAAACCCTTTGAATGCACAGACTATGAGACGGTCTTTTTTAATCAGTCATACTTTCAGACAGATATGAGGCCTCACAATGGAGGAGAACCCTATGACTGGAATAAATATGGAAATGGTTTTATTCATCCCACTAGCTTTGCTATGCATCTTCCAATTCTCAATGCAAGAAGCCCCTATAAATTTGAGGAATGTGGAAAGGACTTTCAGTATTTTGCATGCCTTAATAATCCCATGGGAATGTGCACTGGAGAAAAATTTTGTGACTGCAAGGAATGTTGGAAAGCCTTCACGGTTTCCTCACACCTAACACAATATGTATCAATTCATACTGAAGAAAAATCCAAAGTGTGTAAGATATGTGGGAAGTCCTTTGCTAATTTTTCTCGACTTTCTGCACATGTAAAAACTCATAATGAAGAAAAGCCCTTTGTATGCAAGGAGTGTGGAAAGGCCTTTAAAAATGTTTCATACCTTAATGATCATGTTAGAATTCACACTGGAATAAAATCATACAAATGTATGGAATGTGGGAAAGCCTTCCTTCGATGGTCAGGCCTTACTGAACACATTAGAGTTCACACTGGGGAAAAGCCTTACGAATGTAAGGAATGTGGAAAAACCTTTTCTAGATCTACTCAGCTTACTGAACATATAAGAACACACACTGGAATCAAACCTTATGAATGTAAGGAGTGTGGGAAAGCCTTCACTCAGTACTCAGGTCTTGCCACACATGTACGAATTCATAGTGGAGAGAAGCCTTTTGAATGTAAGGAATGTGGGAAGGCCTTTACCAGGACCTCTGGTCTGATTCATCATGTGAGAACTCACACAGGAGAGAAGCCTTTTGAATGTGTTCATTGTGGGAAAACCTTCATAACTTCCTCCCATCGCACAAAACATCTAAAAATTCACAGTGGCGAAAAGCCCTTTGTGTGTAATATATGTGGGAAAGCATTTATATATTCCACATCTCTTAACATTCACATGCGAACCCATACTGGAGAGAAGCCCTATATATGTAAGCAATGTGGGAAAGCATTCGCTGTTTACTCACGTCTAAGGAAACATAGCAGAGTTCACACTGAAGAAAAACCCTATCAGTGTGAGGGTATGGGTGTTGCTATTTAGCCCATCTGTTGCCACCTTTAAATATTGACAGTGACACCAAAGATCATCAGATTAGTCTTAACTGCTTTGTGTGGGTTATAACATCTCACACTGGCCTTATAGACACCATCCTAATTTTATGAAATAGGATAATTTAGATGCCCCCTCAAACTTTTCTTCTTTTGGGCAATGCTGAGGATTGACCTAGAACATTATACATGCTAGGCAAGCACTCAAATCATTGAGCTGCATCCCTGGAACCTTTTTATGGATGTTTGAATCTGAGCATTTATGGGTCATAAATGAGGCCATTATATTTCTAAATGTTATGAAATAATGAAACAGATTTGATCTTTTTGTTTGTTAGTGGCTGCCAGTGTGTCTTGTTAATATGAAAATTTACCACAAGCCAAATGAATATAGGACATGGGTAACTACTCTGACCCCATTGATTCCGATGAGCATACCAAGAAACAGTCCTTATCTGTTCTTACTAGCTATTCTATTTATAGATGTTCCTGTGGTCCTATAAATAAATTCAAATTCAAAAAGTCCACCTTTTGGATCTATTTTGAATTGAAGTGGCAGTAACTAATCCAATGTCTATTCCTCAATTTGGTTGAGATTGATGATCTGAGGATTGAACTGAGGGCTAGGTAAGTACTCTGCCACTAAGCTATATCCCTAGCTGGCTCTTAGTATAAATCTCTCAGTTATTGTAAGTGTGGATCAGCTGAGAGTTTTTCAAGGTACAGTTCTCTTATGATTAACAATTCTTTCTTAGTTTCAGTGTCTCCCCTTTCATATTTTACTAACGGCACTCAGGAGGAACCAAGTTGCTCCTTGTGAACACTTTAGTTACAGCTCTCATATAAATGTCCTGTTTTATCACTTTCAAGTTCTAACTTCCACGCAAAATGCAAGAATATAGTTCTGCAAGGTTCATGACCATTACATTATCACCGATTAGTTTTTTCTTCATGTTCTAGTAACATGTTTTTCCTTCCTAAGTGAGTCCTCATCAGAATAGTCTCTACCTATCACTCAGTTTCAAAGCTCCTTGGATTTTTTTTTTTTAAACTGCAATGCTCCATACCACAAAACACCATAGACAGCACTGGCAAAATGGCTTAGAAGGTAAAGGTGCTTTACCTGGTTTAAATCAAATCAGGAACTGAGTTCTATTCCAGAGATGTACAAAGTAAAAGGAGAGAATGGACTGCTATAAGTTGTCCTCTACTTATACATGAATACCACAGCTTGAACACATACTTATGTACACAATAAATATAACACAAAACCAACATAAACCAAGTTGCTTAAAATTCACTTTAAAAGAAATGAAATTTTAGTTTAGCATAGTATTAGGTTCCATTATGACATTTTGGATAAAATCTTAGGGCTGTGGGTTTAGCTCAGTGATTATAGTCCTTGCCTAGCATATGCAAAGTTTTTATCTCTAGCCCTGGACACATAATATACAGCAATTTATTTTCTCATACAAGGAAGACAGCATGGGAGCTAGTTAAATGGTTCAGGGGGAAAGCTTTTGCCATGCAAACATGAGGACCAGAATTTGGATTCCCCAGAACCCATCTAAGTGCCAGGTGGGCATGGAGGCCCACCTGTATTCCCAATGCTTGTAAGCATTATAAAGCAAGATGGGAATCCTCAGGTGATTCGGGTAACTAGGTTACTTGAATCTATGAGCTCCGAGTTCAGCAAGAGATGCTGACTGCTTCATGGAAATTGATTGGGCACACTTGACATTATCTTTTGGCTTCACATGCCACAAGCAAATGTGTGAACATACCAGCATGCACATACACACACATTAACAAAAATCAGCAGACTTTTCAAATGACCAAGGCTGGAAATGAGGTTTTTTTTTCCCTCTTCTGATAAAAATCACAGCCTTGTTGGGTGAGGTTATGGTCCTCGACTATCAAATGAAATTCTAAAGACTTTATCTGGACAATCATGCCATGGTTTAGATTTAACCTGAATTTGAGAGGGTCATCAGTACAATATTTACATACAGATTCTTTTGGTTTCTCAGACAGGTAGTCGGAAATATAGATAATGATGCTATTTTTTTCTACTTTAGTGGTTTCTTTACAGAAATGAATATGATGTCTAGCACAACAGTGAAAGTAGTAAAAGCATATTTTTCTTTAGAATTATAATGAGGTATTATACTGATTTGCTTATTAGATAGTTTTTTTTTTAACATCTGGATTTTGCTTATTGATTTTATAGTATCTCTTTAATTATAAAGTAAAATTCCTCTTAGATTCATTAATTGTTTTCCTTATATCTATGATGACCATACTCATTTGCTGGTAAGACTCAAGTACCTAGGACTTCCTTGGTCCATAATACCTAATAAATACTGGAATGAGTAAAAGGATGCTAAAATAAAGCAGTCATTTATTAATGATGATTATATATTAGTTGTCTGATGTTAACCTTAAATTCATAGATATATTCAACTTGGACATTAAGGATCATTTTTGTTTTGTGTGATTGCTGGGGATCAAACAATCCCAGGAGTACAAAAGCACTCTACTCTGAACTACAATTTTGAGCCAAATGGATCATTTTTAGTATTTAGTGTTGGTTATTTTTACTCACATAACGATTTTCATAGATATTCTTGAGTAAAATTGGCATATTTCTTATGCAAGAAATAATGGTGTATGGGGATAAGTAGAGTGCCTCTTTAGCAGTGTACAAGACCCTGGTTTCAATCCTCAGTACCACCAAAACAAAATTTTAAAATGAATTAACTGGTTTTTAGCTGTAGATTAGAACAGTATCATATACTACAGTGAAGTGTATTCTTCACTAAATTCTTAACCTGTTCAGTTATCCTGATCCAGAATAATTGGCATACTGTTTGGGGTACCTGTTTTCTATCATCTTAAACTGTTTGGTATCTTTTATGTTTATAGAACACGTAATATTTACAATATCATTTAAAATTTTTGAGTATATTTTTCTAGGCATGCTTTCATTTTCACATGTGAAACAAAATTTATTTTTTCTTATATTCCCAATATTTCCTGGTTGTATAATTAAGTTTACTTTAGGCCTGTCTTGCATTCTGCAATTATTTCTCCTTGTATTTACATTGAGTTTATCTTGAAAGTATCTGGTATTGTTTTGGAGGGTGTCTATCTCTAAAGCAGAGTGTGTTGCCACATACTGTAATCTTAGGGATTGGAACCCAAGGCAGGAGGGTCACAGATTTAAGGGTAGCCTGAGACTGGGCTACTTTGTGAGAAACTGTCTTAAGACAAAAATCACAATAAAATAAAACAAAACAAAAACAAACAAACAAAAGAAACACGCCCAAAGGTGGAATTGGGGGCCTGGTAAATGATATGGGAGGGAAAAAACTGTCTTGAAATATTGAAACTTTCTGATATAGTTTTTATTCCATTGACTGTGATAGGTACTTACATGGATACACACACACACACACGTATGTATGTATGTATGTATAAGCTTTCTTTTTGTATCCTTAGTTTAAAAAAAAGTGGGGGGGGGTGCTAGGATTCAAACTTAGGGCTTTACACAAGGTAACCACTGAGTTATAACCCAGTTGTAGATGTGTCTTTTATACATACTTTAGTTAGAGTTTTAAAACTCTTAATACTTGAAAAATCATGATTAACAATTCTTTTAGACCATTATGTATAATGCAATTAGTAACAGAATTGGAGTTTAGGTACTTGTTTTTTTTTTGTTTTTTTTTCTTCTGTATTTTTTGCATGTTATCTTCTCTTTGTAATGATGTTTTCATTGAAATTTTACCCAAAGCTTGAAATTTATGTACTCCACTTACTTTTATTTTAGTTGCTATTCTAAAACATTAAATCCAGTTTTAAAATAAAATCTGTTCATATTGTTTCTTTCTAACCAAGTAGACTAGACAGTTTACACACAAATTCCCATCATTTACTTCCTGAGCATCACAATTGCAGAGCCCTAGTTTCGAATGCACCATTACAATGACACAGAAGAAAATCAGAGTAACAATTGATTTTGTAGAGGATCTGTTAATAGATTTGCTTAGGAGACAGTAAATCACACAAAGTAGAATTGAGCTTATGAAGTAGTCCCCCCCCCCACACCAATACCCCAAATTAGTGTGCTACTCAAGCCTTCATGATGTTAGGATGTGAATGTTTGTTCACAAGGATTGACCAGCCATTAGTCCCATCCCCAGAGAACATGCATTTTGAACAGGCAGCTCTAGGTACAGTAGCATCACAATGGATGTTAGTTCCTGGCATAATTCTGCCAGAAGGACAATATGACCCTGGGTCACATCTATTTGAAAAGAACACTGGTGTACTTAATAGTTTTGGCAATATTTTTGCTGTGTAAATCTCCCATCTGACCAGGTGGCTAGACTTGTAGTCTCCTGTCTGTTTATATGTTCAAACTGTAACCTGGGGCTGGGGCCTAAAAGATTTAAAGATGATTTTAACTCTAAGGAGTACATAAGTGAAGTCTACTTGAGGCCAGCTCTCATTTGGGTCTTATCCCTAATTTGGAAAAGCTGAGCTTTTCCTTCAGTTTAAGTGTGCACTTATTTCTTGTTAGTGTATTGTTTCTGTGGCAGCACAAGTCCCTGACTGAACAAAACCATGGCAGAACAATCCATGACTGAACAAATCCATGCATCCTGAGATAATTCATAGCCATAAATTCGAAGTTCATCAGAAGGTGGAGTAACAGCTACTTTCCCCTTTTATGTGAGCTGGTCTTAATTTAATGTGACCAATAGAAGTCAGCAGAATTCAGTTCTGAAAATTGCTTTTAAAAACTTCTAATAGGATCTGGAGAGATGGCTCAGTGGTTAGGGACCCTAGTTGGTCTCCCAGTGGTCCTGAGTTCAATTCTCAGCAACCACATGATGGCTCACAACTATCTGTAATGAGATCTGGTGCCCTCTTCTGGCCTGCAGGGGTTACATTTGGACAGAACACTACACAATACATTAAAAAAAAAAAAAGGACTTCTAATACTAATTGTGAGGTTGTTAAGCTGGCTCTTCATTCATATATCAAGGGAGTGTCAGCATCTAACAGTGTAGAATTGTTTGATCATTTTTCCTGTGACCTGAGATGATCCAGGGGATTCAACAGAACTGGGGACTTGGGAAACATGCAGATAGGGTTAGGAGAAAGCTAAGACTCACACAGTAATTAAGGATTCCCAGTCAAAAACTTATTGGCTCCTGAGCCTGGTGGAATGAGTTGAGGTAGGGTTGATCTGTTGATGGTTGCAACCTACCAAAAGCAATCCCAACACCTTGAAAGGATTGCGGAAGTGAGACTGCCTTTGTTCCTTGCTGAATTAGGGAGCTATGGAAAGCAAGGGTTTTAAAAGCTTGAGTTTTAACGCGGCAGAGACAGGCTGAAAAGTTTCTGATGAGCTTCCTGTGGTGGCAGTACCCGCAGGAAACCTTGTGGGAGGGCTTACATGACAGGGTCTGGGCGTTACCTAAGACTTCCGCTCCCACCTCTAGCCTGACCCACATCCTAGGTTGTAAATCTGTGTTGTCCACGAAACCACTATTGGTCTCCAGTTCCCGCTGTGAAGCCACGACAGCGCCTCCGCCCTCACTGCGAAGAAACCAGAATTCTGACAAAGGGACTAAACTAAGGTATTCAAAACCTAGCAAACCAAGCGCGGGCGGAAGTGACGTAAAGACAGCGACCTTCTTTTCCGGGCCATATCTGCACTCAATAGCTCCGTAGGGGAGCTGCACCCTTTGTGAGTTCCGTGGTAAAGGGGCTGCCTGAGGTTGATGGGGAAGATAAAGGACGAGGGTGCTGAGCTCTGCTTCACACGCCATGGCGTTTCCGGACGTGGCCTAGTCTGAGCCACTCGGGCTCTGAGTCACCGGGGTGGCACTGTAGTGGCTGCATCTCCCGCTCTTCAAAAGCGGCCAGGGCATCTCTCTCTCTCTCTCTCTCTCTCTCTCTCTCTCTCTCTCTCTCTCTCTCTCTCTCTCTCTCTCTCTCTCTTTCTCTCTTTCTCTTTTTCTCTTTTTCTCTCAGAAGGGAACGAATTTTCGCTGGAGTAGTTGGAGTGATCGGCCTCATAAACCTTGTGATTTCAGCGCCTTAGGTGAGCATTTCGTGAAAGGTGGCTTTTGGAAAATGCCGAATTCCTTTAAAAAAAATTGTAACGAATGTTTCGGGTGAGAGCTTGACTCATATTGTTGCGTTGTATTTTTGTATTTAATTTTGACAATTAGCTTCAGATACAAAGACATACTTAGTTACTTAGAATGTACGTCTTTTCTTGTGAGAATATAAATGTCAAGTCCACACAAGAAACCCCAGCCCAGTATGACTGTGCATGCCTTAAATCTCAGCACTCGAGTCAAGAGGATTTCTATGAATTCCAGGCTATCCTGGTCTACATAATGAGTTCCAGGCTAGCCACTGCTACATAGTGAAACACTGCATTTAAAAACAAAACAAAAACTCAATAAACAATAGGGAGCTGTTCTGTACACCTAAAGTTCCCAGGCCTGTGTTTGTGCCTCCACCCTTTATAGACTGTACTAGTGACCAAATCCATGGCCTTGCATATGCTACACGCGTTTCCTCTTAGGCCTGTTCATCACCAAACTGCTTAAAAATGTGGACCTCAACAAAGAAATGTGGGAAGCTTTCTTAGCAAAAATCATAGAATTAAATGTTAAGATTGGTAAATTAGTGTTTTCTCTCCCACAACCCCCCCCATTTCACTCTGCACCAAGCCATAACCCCAACATTTTTTTTTACAGATTTTCTTTTCTTTTAAATAAAAGAAATTTGTAGGCTGATAGTTTGACAGGAGGAATGTCTTGTACCCTAGCTCCCATCCCACTTAATTTTTTGAAACATTCATTAGTTACCTGCAGTGAGTACATGTCCCTGCCTTTTTGTTTTTAATTTTAAATTTAAATTTAATTTTTGTTTAATTAGTATGTGTGCATGCTTGTACCTGAATGATGGTGACATGGTTGTGGTCAGAGGACAACTTTTTGGAGTTGATTCTTTTATGTGGTTTCTGGTGACCCAACTCAGGTACACAGGCTTATGCTGCAAGTGCCTTTAGCCAATTTGCCAGTCTTCTTATTCCCCCTTACCTGTATTTATATAAGGAGGTGTATTGCCAGAGTGAGCTTTTAAGGTCATGTGTTCTAGGTCAGAGGACATACATACGTTTTATTTTGACATTCATTAGAAAAGACCCCTTTTCCAGGTCTTTTCTCTAGGTAGCAATTTTTGAATCAATCTTTTTTTAGCCTCATTTAAAACTTGTTTTGGGGAAAATAAACAGATTTTTAGTTGTAACTTCAAGGCTTTTTTTTTTTTTTTTTTGAAAAGGGGGCTCACTTGTCCATTTCAAGTGAGTAATAGCACTCGGCTATATTCCCAGGAGCTGTAATGCTAGTGCTTGGGGAGCTGAGGGAACAAACAAACAAAAAATCAACGAGTGATACATACCTGTAATACGAGGACTTGGGAAACAGAGGTAGAGAATCACAAGATGAGGCCATCAGCATTACATAGTAAAAGTCTGTCTGGATTTATATTGTTTTGGGATGACATTTCCTAAGTGTTTTTAATTTTTGCTTTGTAATTTTGTTCTGCTGAATGGTTCTTTCTCCTTTGTGCCCTCCTCCCCCCTTTACCTGTCCCCCACATCTCATTCCCCAACCACCATTTTTGCTGGCTGTGAACTCAAGTGAGTAAAATAAAGGAACCTTGAAACTTCCAAGTTTGGGCATTTATTTATTTGTTTGTTTGTTGTTTGGTCTTGCTATGTTGTGTGGGCTGGTTAGCCTTCTACCTCAGACTCCCCAGAGTTGTGAGTATAAGTGTGTCCACCTTGAGTTAATGATTTTAAAATGAGCCCTATTCAAGAGCTTAAAATAAAATGTAATTTAGTGGGTTACATCAGTCTTTACATTTTCATTTATGGTTTTTGAGATAGATTCCTGCTGTATAGCCTAGATGACCTGGAACTCACTATATAATCCATGTTTCCTTGTTCTCCTGGTTCATGATTACTGTGATTTATGTATTTCTATATGTCTGTATTTTAATGTGAATAATATAAAATGAATGTGTGGTAAATTTTGTCATGTGTAAGTAAGTAATAAGTTCTATTTTCTTATCTAACTCAAAATCCAAAATTTGTATGATTAATTTTCATGAATCAGACAGATATGTAGACAGTACCTTATATTACTGCAGTCTCAATGTTATGGGTCCGTAATTAAAGTTCCTGTCTACAATATTGAATAATTCTGTTCATTTAACAACTTGTAAACATTTCTTAGTGCCTGTTTCTTTTTGTTTAACTTTTTAAAAAATTATTTTATGTGTGTTGATGTTTTGCCTGCATGTATGGTGCATCAGATCTTGGAGTTACAGACAGTTATGAGCTGTTGTGTAGGTACTGGGAGTTGAACCTGAATCCTCTGGAAGAATAGTTAGTACTCTTAACCACTGAGCCATCTCTCCAGCTCCCCTTTTATTTAATTTATTATTGTGGGTATGTGTGCACGGAGGTGAGAGGACAACTTTGTAGAGTTGCTTCTCTCCCCGCCCTTCCACTTGATGTGGATTCCAGAGATTGAACTTGGGTCAGCAGGCTTGCATAATAAGCACTGTACTCATTGAACCATCTCACCAGTTCCTCTGCATCTATTTCAACAGCTTGTTATCTGTAGTATGCCTCATTCTTCCAGCATGAACACAGTATACTTTTCCAGGTTGCCTTCGAGGTATTGCAGCAATTTTGTCATCAAACATAGGCCATTCAGATAACATCTGTGATGTGTACACTTTCTCTAGGACCACATGTATGACATTGCTAGTATCTTCCAGGATTTTCATTTAGCATATCTTGTTATCACATTTATTTGTGTGTGTGTGTGTGTGTGTGTGTGTGTGTGTGTGTGTGTGCGCGCGTGTGTGCATGCGCGTGCACAGGAGTGCCACAGCATTTATGGAAATAGGTTGTCTGTTAAAACCAAGGGATCGAACTCAACTTTTCTGGCTTTATCCACTGAACCATTTTACTGGCCATGGCACACTATTAATGTCACACAAAAATACAACACCTTTTACTCACTCATCCTTTCCTTTATTTGCATGCGGGGTGGGGGTTGTTGATTAGGGGGCAACTTGGGAGAGTTGGTTCCCCCTTGCAACCTGTAAGTCTCAGGGATTGATGGTGAGCACCTTTTTCTACTGAGCTATCTTGCTTGCAGTGCCTTTTTTTTTTTTTTTTTTTTTTTTTTCTGATGGGAATGTATCCTTTATTTTAAAATATTATTGACAAATTCCCAGTACCCACATGGCAGGTTACACCTATCTGTAATTCCAGTTCTAGGGTTTTGACATGACATCCTTATGTTTTTGGTTGTGAGCCTAGCCTTTAACGGCTGAGCCATCTCTCCAGCCCTTGACATGACATCCTTACAGACATACATACAGGCAAAACAATGAGCATAAAATAAAAATGTATATTAAAAAAAAAAAAAGATTGGTGATTCCCTCCTCTCCCTAATAGCATGCATAGCACTTAGCACTATGAAAGCTAGTGAGTAGGGATGAGGTTCCCAGGTTAAGAACAACTTTATTTCTTCATGTTCTGTGGCTCAAGTATGTGGTGTCTTCAGCAATAGGGTCTTATTCTCAAGTTCTGAAGGGTAACCAAGAGTAGTGGTAATGGTTTGTAATGTTTGGAGGCCTGTGCAACACTACCAACAGAAGTAATCCATTGCTGGCCTGATTACAAGGCAATGCTATTTAGACTATTTTTATGTTAGTATATATTTTAGGAAGGTAGGCTTCTATACAATGTTTTCCAAAGGCTTTTAATGTTGTCTTTCCCCATACTTCTTCTATTTTGCGCTCCTATCCCTACTACATTTAGCCCATCCTGTTGGATTATTAATTTTTCTCCTTTATGATGTGACTGTTAGCTTTTAATTGTCAACTTATCCACCTGGCATCATCTGGAAAGAGTCTCAGTAAGGAACTATGTAAATCAGATTGGCCTGTGGGTATGTCTGTGAGGACAGTGCCTTGTTTGTTAATTCCTATAGGAAGCCCCAGACTGTTAAGAATGCCACCATTCCCTGGTTTTGGGCTTTGAGCTATATGTATAAGACAGAGGAGCAAGCAAGCAAGGATTCATTCATTGCTTTGTTCTTGATTGTCAATGTCATGTGAATAGCTGCTTCAATTCATGCCTAGATCCACCCTTGGTGATAGACTATAGTCTCTAATTGAAAGCCCCATAAACCCATCATCCCTTAAGTTGCTTTTGGTAAGATTGTTTACTTCAGGACCAGTGGGTGGCTCAGTGTTCAGAAGTGCTTGTCATGCAGGACTTGGAACTTGATTTCTGATTTCCTTGGGCACCAGGCATGCACATAGTGCACATACATACACTTGAAAAAATATTAGAATTCATAGCTTGGTGGTGGTGGCTTACACCTTTAATACCAGCACTCAGGAAACAAGCAGGTGAATTTCTGAGCTGGAGGTCAGCCTGGACTACAGAGCAAGTTCAGCCAGGGCTACACAGAGAAACCCTGTCTTGAAAAACTAAACAACAACAAAATAATTAAATCACATTGGATGCTGGTGTGTGCAATCAAGCTGTGGCTAGTGGGTGAGTACACAAAACAGGTGTTGTTAACACTCCTAATGTAACATATTTCCTGGAAACTTAAATTTGTGTTATGAACAGTCATTTAGTTAAATCTAGTTAATACTCAGTTGTACAATTTCAGATGGATCTCTAACTGTCCTGGTGGGAATAAAGGTTAATTCTAAAGAGAGACTGCCTTGCATTTGGAAATCAGACTATTGAAAGTGTAGACTCACTTCAATTGGTATTTTTACAAGATTCTTGTGTTGGGAGAGGTAAAAGTCTGGGAACCAGTGTGTAGGTGGGGCAAAATAGGGGAGGGGTTTGTCCCTTGGAAAGAGGTCTGATTATGTTACAGGAGGGACTGGAGCCTGGGGAATCATGATGAGGGGGACCATACATTAACCAGAACTGCTTACTAATGCATGTCTCTTGCCCTCTATTTAAATCTGAAGTTCATC